AGTTTTGCTAGATAATAAGTCCTTACTTTTGATATAATATAAAAATTTCTTATTCTTAATTATTTTTATAAAATAAATTATCTTAAGTCAAAAGTTAGTAATTTTTTTTTAGTAATTTTTTTTTTCATAGTACTTGTGAGAATGTGTAATACAAGAATAATAATTAATTGTTTATCTAGATATTAAAAATCAAGATAAAAAGATAATATATTGAATTAAAGGATGAAAAGATATTTTTACATTGATTATCTTCAGTTCAAAATTTTTTAAATAAACAAAAAGTTCATCCAAATGATATATGCAATCTTAAATTTTTACCTCTTCAAAAGCAATTCATCTTAAAGATTTTTAGCTTCAATGTGTATAACATGTTAGATTGCTCTTTGCAATTAAAATTTTGCTCAATCTAATCAAAAAAATATTAAAAGAATTGTTTCACTCTAAATTTTTCTTCAAAGCAAAATAAATTTCAATGATATATCACAATATCTTCAACTTGTTACTCAACCATTTGAAATTTTTTTATTGAAAGTGAAGGATCTTTTTTGCTGAAATTCAAAAACGTCATCTTAACTTTAATTCTTCTTCCTCACTACAAATATATATCACATTCATAATATTTATAGTTTTCAAAAATAGCTTCTCAAATCTTCATGATAGACATACGAATCTATTGCAATATTGTTAAACTACTATCCACTCATGTGAAAGAATATGAAAATCATGAAATGAACATAGTTTGACTTAATGAGAATCAAAATAGCATAGATGCATATAGACATCATAATATTTTTCCCAAAAATCATGTTTAACGTTAAGATCTTAAAATTCAGAAATAAAAATCAAACACTTAATACTTAGATTTCAAATACTCAAACCATTATTGTTAATGTTATTATTAACGTTTAATACAATCACAAATATTGTATTTTACTAACTCTTATTTGATCAAAGCGATCAAAGGAACAATTATAATTTTTTTAATTATCGTTTTCAAAACAGCTAAGATAATAAAATTTTTGCTTGTTGCTACATTCATCAAAACAAATGTACCGAAAAACTTGCTTGCAGCTTTTGTCATCAAAACAAACATAAAAACGTAAATACTTGCTTGTTGCTTTCACCAAAATTGTCATAATCTAATTCTTACTTGTTGTATGATAGTCAAAATAGTCATGAACGTAAAATACTTATTTGCCTCATATTTAGACCCAACAACGCTACCTCCAATTGCAATACCAATCAAAAAAATAAAAGTCAGTTGGAAAAAACCGTAGCCATCTTTTTCTTCAAGCTTCCATCACAATAATTGATTACGTTCAGAAGTCTTTCACAACAACATCATTTATAAAGTTGCATGACTAACTGTTGATTATGAATGTATGGATTTTGGACATCAATTTAATACATGACTAATTTTCAATAACTAGATGAATATTATTTCATTTGCATTGATAGATTTATTTAAATAATTTTTTCAAATATTTTCATAGCTAATAAAATTTATTATTATCACTATTGTGGACATTTTAAAATTTTCAATTCTGTATTTAACATGAATTTTAAATTATCAATTATCTTGAACATCATGCTGGAGCAATTTTGTTTGCTTGAACATTTGATAAAAAAACGTGTGTCAATATTAATCATTTTAATGATATTAAATGCTTAATTATTTTAATTTATTTATTTCAATACATAATATGCAAGTTCAATATACTATTTTTTAAGAGTTTAAAATATGTTATTGATGTATCAAAATCAATGAATACTATTTTATTCAACGGGTATTTTCTTAACATTTTTTCATTTGTAATGATTGATTGTACTCCAAATGGAATATGCCTTGACATGATTCTTTGCATATTGGGAGTGAAAATAATATTTATACATTTGCTGTTTGCAATATCACGTGATGATCATCACATGGTAAGATAAACATTGATATGTTTTGTAATCTACTAGTTATGACGTATTTATATTTGATTTGGACAATATATGTCATTATAGCTTACATGATGGCTATCCAGTCCATATATGACATTTTTTTAAAAGGGGATAATTATCAACTTTCCGAGTATGTTTTGTAATCGACTAGGGATGTGACATATTTATATATGGTTAAAAAAAATAGCAATGTTATGACAATGCACGGTGGTTATCAATTTTATACATAATATATTCTTTAACTATATGAAGATCTATCTTCTCGGTAGATTGTTAAGGGGACAACCACTATTGTGTCTAATTTACCTCATGAGTTTCCATTCCTGTCGAGATAACACTAGCTACTTATAAACATAACACAGCAATTAACTCCAACTGATGTTTTTTATCGTCTTTTATTTGTATACAGATTGATACAAATAAATAATATACCCTAAGTGATGAAAAGATATCATTGTGATACTAGTCGGCCAAGCCTTTTTGATGACATCTTCGGTTTCAGACGTGGTCGGGTTTGATGGGATATTCCGATACTTTTCGATATTTAATCGGTCCCGTACATTTAAGGTGTTCATAGCTTGTTTCTGCCCCTGGTCACTCTTCGTACTCGTCAGCCATGGACTCCCTCCGGCTATTGTATTTGTGTAGCTTTTCTAATCTACGTCAGGCATCTGAGGATCGTGCTCGTTGTGAGATAACTTCTAACCCAAAGCAACTCCGTTACTTATCTTCACTCTCAATGTTGCAATGTTCAACATGAGTTGGAATCTTGATCATCATGTACCGACTGTTGAATTGCGACCCTCCTGAGTTTTATCGAATGCGCTGCACTCTTGGAGTTTCTCTACCTTCCGAGAAGCTTCATCGCTCGCTTGCTTACTGCTGTACTTGCAGCCTGTTTGGGAGATCATCTTCCGCGGCGAAGCAACCAACCCCAGGAGATTTATTTCCTCAGTTAAGAGGAAAGATCCAGCAGCCAAGCAGCCCACATTTCGAAATCAGTGAAGGTTGCAACATGAACCTCACCTATTTACAAATGCTGCTTAACCCTTTTGAAGAATTTTGGTTGCTACTGTCATACTTTACAGTGACTGATTGCCAATGAGGAGAAGCTTACAGCTTGTGTAGGCTGAGGAATCTTTGCCTCAAGAGCAGTCCTAATTGTTCTACTATATTACTTGGGGAGAGTTCTCATCAGGCTTTATCTTAACTCGGTTTCATAAATTTTGAAGTTGGTCGAAAGCGTCCTTTAGTCAGTCAGTCAGTCAGACCTCCTACAGAAGGCATCGTGTATTTACGCATTACCGAGCATTGGTAACTGGTGCTGTCTTGTAGGCTGACACAAGAATAGATTTGAGAAGCAGGAGAGTCGACAGAGTCAGAGCTTTACAACCCTCGCAGGCTGGTGAAAAGTTTGCATCACAACTGCAGAGGCAAACAGAAGTTCGATTTTGGAATGGGATTAAGCTGATCAAGGAACCAATGAACTGCGAAAGAGAGACCAGATACTTGCTCGGAGCTCACATTTTGAGAGTAAAAGCAAGCTCGTCACGCCTGCAGCAAGAGAGAGAAATAGAATTTTTGAGTGTGAATCAGCTGTTTCCCATTCCGCACGAAATGTGACCCACCGAAGAGCGACAATAATAATAAGGATATATTTTCTAACACGAGAAACGATACGAACACCGCTCACACACGTAATCATCTGTCTGTCTGGAGGGTGAAGCACTCCCTGCCCATTCATTCAACTGCAAACCCGGTTCGGTAGTTGGTACCTGCACAGCCTCGTCCGCCACTCCAGTTATCTCACCTTAACATCTGATTAGTTGCCACCGAATGTAATCCAACAACTTGATCCCTCAGTTTAGGAGTCATCAGTACAAACAGGATGATACATGTCAGATGTCACTGGGGCTTGCTTCACGAATTTACAGTCGAATCCAGACCACGTTCTGACGTTTCAAGCCTGTTTCAAGCTACACCATACCGCCCAGACAACACGTCCGTGCCATCTCAAAACCTCCAGCGAAAATGGCAACTGTGAAAACTCCCAGTTTCCTTGACGCTCTGAGCGCAAAGCTAGGATTGGGCTGAGCCACGCAGCTGTCAGCAGCTACCCTCGCTCGCTTGCTTATTTTCTTGCATGCACAGGTTCCGACGGACTTAGATTTTGCCTACTATGATGCGATGCTGGCTAGGCTTGCTGATCAGCTCAGTCAGTAGCTCGTATGGTCCAGAGTGCATTCAGACCCATCTAATTACGGGAGCTGTTACTGGTGGCTCTGCTCTTCTAGCCTGACGCAGTTACCGAGATGCGGCGTTATTACGCTCACAGAGAAGCTCTGACCCAACTTGTGAGTGACTGCACAGAGTACCGGTAATGAAGTCCATTAGACGTCTATTGTATTCTACTTCTCTGACCTCCGTCTCCCCCTCCCTCATCTCGTAGAATCTGTGCATCAATTACGCTCTTGATGGCTGCCTCATCGCCAGAATCGCCCATAGGTTGCCATGCCATGCCGTACCGCTTACAGGAGATACCGCCAACAGTTGCTTCGAACCTGCCTGCACTCCCCGACGTACGATATTCAAAAAGCATGCAGAGGGAACCATGCCTGGTCTGCCATGACTGATCTGATCTTCAGCAGGAGAGGTAGGTTCTCCTGCTGACGTGATCGTCGTCGTCCTTCGTACGTACCTACACTTGACCAGGAGTACTCGATGTTTCCGACTGGCTTGGTTTGCGTATACGGTACAGTGGTTACGATATGACGAGCTCATGGCTGTGAGCTGGAGTGTGGGGAAGCGACGGACAGACATTCATTCGTTCATTTATAACGCAGCAGCTTCTGTCCGCGCCCCGCACTCACTCATATCCTCGTGGACTCGAGAGGGCATCTCGGAGGGGCTTCATTGGACCTAGCACTCATCCGATGGCCGAAACGGTTGCTTGCAGCCTACGACGAAGAATGATGCCCAGAACGCGATCCATCCGTCCCAGAATGGTCGAGGAGGAGGAAGAGGGGTACGGAGAAAGAGAGATAGAGAAATAGACCAGTCCGAGCTGCATGTGGGAATTTGTATTGATCAAAATTGGAGAATACAGATAAGAACACGTCTGCGAAAATGGGAGACGCTGTCCACGATTCGGTTCCATTCTACGTGTCGGCCGATGGTCAATAGAATATTGCTCGCTCTGTCTACCTATATATTATACCTACACTTGTCTATATTCTCAGCAGTTAGCAACTAACAAAATTCAATGTATACAAACATCGACGATAGTCGTGGGTACTGGCCCAAAAGCAATCTATTCCTCGGTCCGCCTATACAAGTCTAATCTATGTCGGAGGGAAGAACTTGTGCAGGTTCCACGGCAGTCGGTAAAACTCCTCGTTCCGAGAGTCGCCTTGGAACTTATGGAATCTCGACCACCAGTGCATCCCGCGGTCACGGTGCGAGATCCCGGCCTCGATGGTGTTATCCAACACCCCAGCCACGGTCAAAGCGATGATTGGGTGAGAGGAGAGTATCACGTTGAACAAATCGTTGAACTGCAGCACGGCACCCATCACAGACGTTAGAATCTCGCATGCACAGCTCAGCTCGGCAGTCGTTCTGCTGGTCTTCTTCATCGCCACTGACTGACGGAAACATCACTAAAACTGCTCAGAAAGCAAGAGCAATGCATTCAAGACGGAATTTCACAGCTGGAGATAGATCATTCATACCCAATGAGCTCCGGTGTGCACGGGTCCGTGTCCCGCTTTGAGGGTGAACTCGTTGAAGTACTGGGGCACGGAAAGGCCCAGGAACAACGCCGTGCCCACGATGAACAGGTTGCGAGTCAAGTTGATATTTGTAAATTGCAAGATAGAAATTCCCGCCGCAGCTGGACCCAACAGACAGACAGACAGTAAAACGCTGTGAGTCTCATCAAGATGCCAGCTCAAGATCGGGGCAGTAGCTCGACGGGGACGAGAACTTACCGACAATTCCCAGAACGATGCACAGCACGGCGGCCAGCATGGGGAGGGGGATGGACGCGAAGATGGCACCGAATTTGCCGAACAGGCCGAAGAAAATCATCCACAAGCCCGCGACCTGAATGACCCGTCGACTGCCCACTCTGGTAATACCGATGAGGCCAATGTTCTCACTGCAAAGGAATCACGACCACCGCACACACCATTAGAATGATCACGGCGACAGGCAGGAGCTCGCACGAAGGACGGATTGATCGAAGACTTACGGGGAAATGGAAACACCCGTGGCCGTGCCGAACATTCCCGCGAGCAGAATTCCAATTCCCTGCCATCCGATTCCTCTGGTGACGACGTGAGGAGGTGGCGGCGTCGCCCCCGCCAGCCGCGAGACGGCGTAGTAACCTGCAGTAGACTGCGTCCACCACCACAACGAAAACATCAGCCCATAGTCCGACCCGATCGAACCCAGTTCACCTCACCGGCGCCAAGCACTCCACTCTCTCGAACGACGGACTCCGTCCTTACCTCCACCAGCGAAGCGACGACTCCGGCCATAACTCCGAACGCATGCCCAGCTTCGAACGTCGGGGCGCCCCACTGCAACGGGTACGGCACCTTGATCCTGGTAACGCCCACGGATCCAGCTGGTCAGAACGTTGCCCGGGACGGAGATTGGCGACGAGGACGGAGAACGGAGGACGGAGGGCGGGGGAAGGGACTTACCACGGAGCTTGCGAGACGAGTCCGTTGCGGTCCGTCCGGCAGTGTTGCTGGCCCAGCAGCGAGGCGTGCCGGTAGGCGCCGCTGACGGTGAGAATGTGCGCGTAGCCCCATACGACTCCGAGCCCCAGCACGACCGGGAACAGCTCAAATACGTGGAAATGCTGGCCCACTTTGATGCGAAGGTGCTTGAGGTACTGGCGGCGGGAAAAGCAGGCGGGCGGTTGTCAGTTGACACGACGACTCAGAGTCCCAAGGCAACGCAACGAGCCCCGAGCCGTGCTTGCCAAAATTCACACCCGGGGCTGAAATTCACGACGGCGGGCTGGCAATTACCTGCGAGAAGAGCAGGATCACGACGACTGCAGGGAGTCCGATCTCCACGCACTTCGCCACTTGCGCGAACCCGTACCCGTAGAGCCCCAGAGCGAGCATGGCCACCGTGGGAGCAATTGACACCGGACTGAAGAACCTGCGAACACAGAGGGAGCATTAGCTGAACGCCGCAATTTGCACAGATGTGGAATTACTCGTCCGAGAGAGAGAGAGAGAGAGAGAGAGAGAGAGAGAGAGAGAGAATTCGCTCGAATGCGCGGACGATACCTGGTGACGATTCCCCAGAGCCCGCTGAAGCCCAGAATGACTTGCAGACTCGAGCCAGCGATGAGAGCTCCTTGTATTTCGCGCATGGTCCGCTCGAACCTCTGCGCAGGAGAAGAAGACAAAGTAGTATAAGCTTCGGCCTCGTCCGTCACGCAAACCGAGCCGAAGGATGATAGGCGGGGTGCATGGTGAAGGAAAGTACCTCTTTGGGGTCGACGATGCTACTCAACCTCGACGAGTTAATTATGGTCAAGGTTGGAATCAAGTACGCCACCGAAACGCCAGACACCACGGGCAAGCGAGTTCCGAGGAACGTCTGGATCAGAGTGTTGATGCCGGAGACGAAGAGAATCGTCTGGATGACTCGAGCCCGGTCGCCCTGCAAACCGACAATCTAGCATGAGCTTGACGAGACTGTAGAGCGGCGGCGTGCAATTCGACGGCGGGAAATGAGGTTCGAACGATTTGAGCAACGCCTGCAGGCAAGGTATGGAGGATTGCCGTGTACGTACATTGTCTCCTCCCATCTGAGGAACCAAGGTCGAGGTAATGAACACGACTGGGAAGAGGAGGGCCAGATAATGCTGGAAGCCCAAGATGATGGTCTCGGCTGTATGAGGAAACCAGACAGCATTATTAGAAAAGAGACAGAAGAGGAATCAGAAGTCGAGCTGGTGCTGACATTGATCAGCTCAGCTCAGCTCCACACTCGGCCGCCGCCGCGCATCGTTGGAAGGGCAATATCAGATGATGAGCACGCTGTCGCTTCGTCGAGCTAAAACCGAGGAGGTGGACGATTTTCGTTGTTGTCAACATCATCGAGAAAGTAGCATGTTAATTAGAGCTGGAATACTTACGCCAAACCGGATCATCGTTGATGCAGTATCGCAGTCCCGGGAGCTGCTCATGAATCGGGTGATGGAGTGGCTCAGTATCCTGGTTCTGCTTGCCGCCGCCTCCACCTCCGCCTCCGCCGCCGCCCTTCCCCATGCCAGGAATGGGCGCAACCGCCATCTCGTTCTTCCCTATTGCGACCCCTTTTGACGGACCCGGGAAATTATATTTCCCCACCCCCTCCACTGTCGCCTAGCACGAAACTCGCCCTCTCAACCTCAAGGATCTCTTACGCACACGAGCCCTGTGAACACAGCATGCTGTACTTCACTGCACTTCACTTCTTCTCGAGCGACAACTGAGCTCAGCAACTTCAGCTTCACAACGAACACACAATACAAACTCCCCCTCGTTCGCCTTCGTTCATACCAACATCATCTCAGAACTCGCTCGCTCAGAACTGTAAACAGTCGAGTGAGTCTCTGCCTCCCGCCCCAGGTGGTGCTGGTGGGACCGACTGTATCGACCCACCCCGCGCGCTCTCGAGTCCGGAGCTGAAGACAGTCGGAAAAGTTTCTCTTTTTTTAATCAAAGCTGGACTCTCCCTCTCTCTCTGTCTCTCCCGTCGCTTCGCTAGCTGGACTTCGTTCCGGGATTCAGATCGAAGTACCAAAAGAGTAGAGAGCAGAAGAAGAGACTGAAAAACGAGACGAGAGCAGGAGCAGTAGAGTGAGCTAGTAGTAGGTGTGGATGGAAGATCCCCGAGGACTTAAAGACTCCAGCAGCAGCTGAGAAGGACGTCGCAGAGCAACACGCAGCAGACTTTGGGAGAGCCACCACTAGAGAGCGGAGGCAACGGTCTTCTCGTCCTTCATTATAATCTGCACTCGGAGGACCTCTACTGGAACGGCCAGTCGCCTGTGACTCCGAAGTTGCGAGTGAGCGAATTCGGGCGAGTCCTAACAAAACTGTCCCCATTCCAATGCCGCCATTCCATCTAAGCCATGTCCGGTCAGATCCGGTCAGGACTGGGAGTAGGCATCTTCGCAGTATTTAAATGGTAATCAATTCAGGTTAAGCTCTAGGCTCGTTTTAGCAGTGCTCATCATGAGCCCAACATGTGTACTAATCATCATGCGAGTTTGGTTTCATGATCTGCAGCTTTGCATCATAGGCTTGCGAGCTTTACTTCGGTGTCATTAGCGGTTGGATTAGCTTAAGCAGGACTCCGTGGGAAGGATTGAACTCCGGTTGGCATGAAACGTTAACATGCGAAGGTCGTTCTCGTGTGTTTTAATGAGGACGACCTTCTGTACGTTTAGCTCTGATTGGCTCATATTTGAAAATCTATTCTTAGTGTAAGTTCGTCCACAGTCTTCAAGTCAAAGTGTTTGTTAGACTAAGGACAGATGAGGCCACTGTACCTAAACTATTCCAACGAATGTTTTATATTTGTCGTTTCTTCTTAATGTCCGAGACCAACGCAGTACCATCCCGAATTCGCTAACCAAATTCGGGATGTTTTTGCACAGCGCATTGCACATGTATGCAGACTTACAGTGATTTGGTACAAGTGAGTTTCTCATGTTCCATCAACATTCTCGCAATGAGGGCATCTACTTGTACTGAATTAATTTATATGAGCTTTCAAAACAAAGAATTTTCGAAATGACTTGAAATACCCACGCATATGATAGAATTTTCTTGCACAATTGCTTCAACGAAGATATACCTGTCATACCCCAGTTCCATTAAAGTATGATCGTTGATACTTAGTAAATTTGAATACATCGAAAGCCATCTCGATCATAATAAAGTCACCCAACTGCACTTTTTTAATTGATTAGTTTGAAATTAATTTCTTCGAGTAAATGATCGAGGTGATTAAAAAGCACATCAAATACATTTTTTGCTTGAAAATGCAGTTGCCCAAAAAGTCGAGTACTTGCTCGACAAATCTAACTTGATGATATTAATTATGAATTAAATTATGTATGAATAAATATTGATAATCATATTTATAATCTAAGCATTGAAAAATCTTCTGACTTATAATTTATTGTGAAGATCACTTTCGCATCTAACCTTGTCTTTCTTATATGTTAAATTTATAACTTATTGATAAAAAAATATCATCGATAGTATTCTAAAATATTATTAATATTAAAAACATAAAATTCTTTATGTAAAATCTAAAACCAAATACGATATACACAATACACTCATATACTGGTACACAATACACTCATATAATGTGGTTCATCCTCGAAGGTTACGTCCACGGCTGAAACAAGCGAGCAGATTTATTGACAAGTGAATACACAATACTTCAAATTTATAGAGTATATTTATACCCAAAGCCAGCGACACACATAGCTATAAATAGCTAGAACCTGAAGTTACTCCTTAACCGGAGTTAACCTCAACAATCTACTCCTTAACTCGTGTTAAGGAGACAGTAACATCTGAAACCTATATTATTATTCAGCGGAAAGTTCTAGACAGAAATCTAACACAAGGCTCCTCTTTACACGAGAGTTAACTAGACCTAGACCGTAACCATAACAGGATAAAGTAATAACTAGACCTAGACCGTAACCATAACAGGATAAAGTAATAACTAGACCTAGACCGTAGCCATAACAAGATAAAGTAATAACATGAAGAGTTAAATAGAGTTACTATGCTAGCAAATTTTACATGTGCTCCCCATGAACAACTTGCATGGTAGCGCAATGTAGCCTAAAACTCTCCAATGGAATAATTTTGGTCAAAGCATCAGCTGAATTGAGTTTACCGTCGATCTTGACTAGCTCAATTGTTTTATCAAACACTGCTTGTCTGATAAAATGATATCTGATGTCAATGTGCTTCACTATGCTATCCATGACCTGGTTTGCGGCCAAATGTAAAGCCCTCTGGCTATCACAATGAAAATTAACCACGCCCTCCTTCAATCCCATTTCCATGATAAGTCTATCCAACCATATAGCTTCCTTTGCCGCTTCTGCTGTTGCCACATATTCAGCTTCCGTTGTTGACCGGGCTACGCATTTCTGCAAGGTATACCTCCAACTAATGCTTCCATTGCCAAATGTAAACACATACCCAGTTGTAGATCTCATTTTATCTAAATCTTGTCCATAGTCAGCATCAACGTAACCAAACAAGGATTTGGCATTGTCTAATAGACCATCAAACAATAAGCCATAATCCAAAGTACTCTTCAAATATTTCAAAATCCATTTCACTTCTTCCCAGTGAACTTTCCTTGGATTTGACATGTACTTTCTCACCTTGCCCATCGTAAAAGCAATGTCCAGCCTAGTGCACACCATCAAATACATGAGGCTGCCTACAGCTTGTTTACAGGGAACACATGACATATATCCTTTCTACACCGCATCGATAGGATATTGAGCTGTAGAGAGTTTGAAATGTGCTGCCAAAGGAGTCCATACTCTTTTGAAATCCATCATGTTGAACCTGTCAAGTATACAACGAACATACTTGCCTTGACTCAAGCATAGTCTCTTCTGCTCATGATCCCTATGTATCTCCATACCTGATATTCTCTTTGACTCCCCCATATCCTTCATCTTAACCAGACCTCAACATACTCTTGCATTCATCAACATTGGATTGGTTTTTCGCCAATATAAACATATCGTCAACGTAGAGTACTAAAATGATGAGATTGAACGTCTCATCATTTAACTTCTTCATGTAGACACAAGGATCATACACACTCCGTAAAAATCCTTGTGCCTTCATGAACTAATCAAATCGCGTGTTCCACTGCCTAGGAGCTTGCTTTAATCCATACAATGATTTCAATAATCTACAAACCAACCTCTCTTTGCCTTTGACCTCAAAAGCAACAGGTTGTCTCATGTAAATCTCCTCCTCTAAATATACATAGAGAAAAGCTGTAATCACATCCATATGATCCTTAACAAGATCAAATATCGCAGCCAGCGCACATATCAGACAAATTGTAGCATACTTAGCTACCGGTGAGAAAACTTTGTTGTAGTCCACGCCCTTTGTAATGAATGACAAATACCAAAATGGAGCATAATGGTACAGATTCGATCCCACGAGGACAAAAACAACCACAAAAGTCACGATTTGTCACAAAAAAGCATTCTATTAAAGAGTTTCACTTCTTAGGCCAATGTCACTCCCAGAAGACACTACCAAGCTAGAGCCGAAGACCCGTAGAGTAGTGCATCACCACACTCACAGCCTGAAACTTTTCCAAACAACGCCTATGGGAATCGCTTGCAACTCCACACTTATATTTCAGGGGGAAAACTTCCGAGCATTGCATACATCTCAACTCACTGATCCGAATACTAAGACCCGAATTTGCTTAAATCCCAAGGAGCCTCGACTACTCAAGACATTTGAGCCGAATACTCACAACCCCTGATGCGGTAACTTCGACAAACAGGAGCGCACCATGCCCAATGCCTAGATCACACACCAGCACTCAGACACCGTGGATACAGATTTACAATCAAGACAAGCCAATTGACAGAAAAGCCCCCCAAGGAAAGAGCCTTGGGCCTCTTTATTCACAATGGCAACTCTGGAATCTCAACCGCCTAAGGCAAATTGGTCTCAGGGGCTGTGCCGTCCAATGTAACGATTATGGCGTCGTCTGAACTACTCTCTACTCCTAGTCTACGCAACACGTTTACAATCTCTACTTCTACATTCTGGCGCGCCTTATTCACTCCCTCTGAAAATGTATTAACTAACTCTACAATCTATTTGTGTACTGCGGATCCGCTGATCTTCGCACTCATCAGCCGTCGCTTGAGTGAATCTAACTTCAACCACTTCACCGATTGCAATCCCCACATCGCGAACCCGTTCAGGCACTTCTCTAACCGCAATTTCAACTCGTCGGTTGACCCCTCCCGTAGCTGACGGTAGGCCTCCTTTGCCTTTTTTATTCTCTTTTGGGACTCTTGCGATCTCATCTCTGCCTTCCCTAACTGCTCCCGTAACCGTTGACAGTCAAATTCAACTTTTAATTTACATTCGACCTCCGAAGACTTCGCCGACTCGCAATCTGCCAATTTCTTGGCCCAATCCTCTAACTCCTCTTCATCCTTCTGGTTTTCCGCCGACATACTTGCTGAAAGCTCCTCCGCACGTCGGAATTCCACTTCACACTTCGCTTCAATCTCCAAAATTTTGCTACGAAGATCTTCTTCTGCCGTCTTCGCCTCTGCGATTTTGCCTCGAAGTTCTTCGGCGATACGAACTTCTTCCGCTCTTCGACTCTCCAACTTAGCAAGTTCTTCGACATGCATCTTCTCTCGCCTTTCTGCAGTGGTGATCAGCCGCTCCGACCTTTTGACTGCTGCATCGTAAGCTTCTCTGGATTTTTCCAATCTCGCCATCAAATCCACTGTTACTTTCTGGGCATTCTCATTAGAGATACGAAGCCCTCCACAAGTCTCTTCTAACTCTCCACATCGCCCGGATTCCTTCTCTAGATTCAGCTGCAGCACTTCACACTTAGTTTTCTTCTCTCGAAGCTGGGCTTCTCGCTCCCGCAATGTTGCCTTCACTGCCGCGCACTTAGTTGACAAGGTTGCAGCTCGCTCCTGTGCCAATGCAGTCGCGGAATCCCACTGCCTCTTTACTGCAACTGATCTCTTGAGCTTTGTCTTGTTCCTAATCATCTGTACATAGAATCTTGGCTCCTTCGATACAATATACTTCGCTCTCTTCCCATCCAAATACTTCAACAACGGAACTACACTATTCTACAAGAATTCAGGAATTGTATCTTCCAATGTCTTCACGT